ATGCAAATGTTACAAGACACAACCCTCTTCATCCAACCAGAGCGCGCCTCGCGCAGCACGGGCCGAGCCTCTTCGGGCCGTGAACCACAGTACGAGATCGAGGCCATTGTCCGCGCTCTGAAGAAAGGGAAAGAGAATGGGATGGAGCTACCATCACATCGGCGCGACCACATCCACGACTTTGCTGAAGAAGTCGACCAGATTTCCAATGGCACAGGCGTAACCAGTTTTCAAACAATTCAAGATTACCTTCGCACGCAACAGTTGGCGGGTAGAAACCCCATTGGCCTGCTTTCACCTGGTCTCATCGAATACTACGATTTCATGAGACGTGTAATCAACGTCTTTCCACAAGTCGATCTTAACGATCCGACAGATGCAAAAGGCAAAAGAACCAAACGGCCGGTACCCCCTGACCACCCTTACAAGGACGACATACGGAAATTCTACAGAGAAAGTACTGGTATGGCGCTGACTCAGAGAAAGAAACTGTTGGCAGCATCCATAGCAGACATTGGCGAGGCTATATACAAACTCGAATGCAAGATTGTTGACATGCCAGACGGCCCTGAAAAAGCTGCTGCAATGGCCGAGCTAAGCGAGCTTGAAACCCAGTGGAAGCAGGGCCTCGACAGTCAAAATGCCAACTATGCCAAGGTACCTGCAACAGAGATCGATGACCGCCTCGCCATACGCTCGCCGCCCTCACCTCGTCTCCAATCCGACTCCCGTCCTTTCGAGCCCCTCGTCATGCGTAAAAATGAGGCTTGGCCCCAGAGCCGTCTGGCCCTCGTCTCCGCTGAGCCCTTTCCCAGGCCCGTCGGCGGATCCCCCGACTTCTACGAGTGGGCGCGAGATTTCATCTTCGGACTCTTCGCGCACCCCTCCGATGGTATCAATCATGCTCTCGACAAGCTGCAACATGGCCTCAGCGACATTATAAAAGATTGTCCCAGTTTGAAAGATCCGAAGAAAGGTGGTAGACTGCAAATGGAGCATCTCAGGGTTAGGATGCTAACATCCGAGATGATTCTAGAGCTTGTGGAAGCGTACAGGACCTGGCCGTTCAAAGAGCCAGGCAGTGATAGCAATCAGTACTTCAAGTACAAGCATGCTGGACAAACGTGGATTGGACAGTCTGCGGATCGATGAGGGATATTGAATACACATCATGTTGTCACTGCTTCTTTGAGACACAAGTACAACACGATATCGTATCGATCCTTCTGAAGTTCAGCATCACGCTACGTGTGTAACAGTGTCTCCGACAACATGGTGTGCATATTGGCAACCGATTGCAATGACAAGAGCGAGCTTACGCCTTGTTACCTCGCCCTCTCGGGTGAGCATATCTCGAGCAGCGTTGATTCCATAGAGTGAGCTTTCATACTTTCCAACTTGGAAAACTTTTGTACAAACCTTCTCCGAGTATCCTCCTATTAAAGCTCTTGTGGTCTGGAGCTTTCTCGCCAAAGCGGTGCAGCTGGGTTGCCGTTCTTGCACAAAGCCGAGGGTGCTAGCTGTCGTGTCTCTGTATGAGATCGAAGGTGTCAGAATGTTGAAGACTGTTGAAATTCCCTAGAACTAGTAGTGAGCTCCAATAGAGGCATGTCGTACTTGTTCGCATAGTCCCTTTACTTCTCGGCGGTCAGTTAGGTCGTTGGGAATCCTCCTTCGTGCTGTGCAAAGACAGCCAGAGATGGCGCAGGATCCCTATCTAGTCATCTCTGAGATCGATCCTCATTCCTATTGATAGCTCATCTCTCCAATGTAACGGAACACCCCCATATCGTACTGTCTACACGGCGGTTGAGAAGCGCAGAATAAATTGAACGTTTGGCGCAAGCCGTCGACGAGCACCCTTGAATTCGTGGACCATATAATCAGCAGGCTTGCATCTGACAGCATCTGCGATTTGAGTGGACAGGATCTGGCTTTCGTCTGACACAAGAACGACGGGATGATCAGCGATAACATGGTAGGTCGCATTGCTGCGGCAATCGATGGACAGGGTGAAGGCTTAATTAGAGGCGTCATTGAACCGCCAGACGTGCAAGGTCGCCGACATGCATCCCGGAAAGTAAAATTAGAATTGACGCCACCCGTCGAGTGTGTCTCTAGAAGACATTAGAGGGTAGACCGCGCGAGGCTGCATGCGCTGGTGAGAGCGAGGCACTTTGCAAGGTGGGTGGAGATGTCCCTTGGTACCTAGGTACCTAGGTAGCCAACGCGGGAGTAGGCGCGCTAGTGGACGAAACAAGCCTAGCCTCTTTTTTCTTCCCGTGCATCCAGATGTCGGGTGCAGGTGGCTTCGATCGAGCCTTCCAATTACCATCACATCACGCCCACCCTACAGCTTCACCCGTATAATTTGAAATGTCCGGAGCGGAGAGTAACCCGAGGAAGCGGAAAGCCGAGCCCCGCGAGCGGCACGACGGCGGCGACAAACGAGCTAAGGTGAGTTCTTTTCTTCGTACCACTGTCAAAACTCCTCCCGTACTTGCATTCTTGGCTTCCCAGTTCCATTTTCGTCATGCAGCTGCAGTGAGATTCATCAGGCTGATCCGAGACATCAGAGTAAAAGAAACTGGGATATGCCCCGCAGGGACGGCAGTCAGTCTCGAGCTATCAAACCCGGTGATGCGGGCATATGGGCAACATGCGCTATGAAGAAGGAAGCAAAATCTGTCTCTGATCTGCGGGATCTATTTCAAGAGGTTAGCGATATCTTGATGCTGCACCATCCGCGAGCGACAGTGCTGGTGATGCTGATTCATGATAGTACGCTACTACCCTGCACGGCGCCGCCGGTTCCAATGGGACGGCTGCAGAAGACAGCTCTGACTCGGAAGGAGGTGATATCGAAGCTGAGATCCAGAAAGAGCTCGCCGATATTCGTAAGCCGACTACGAAACCCTTGTTCACGTCTCTCAAACTCGACACCCAGTGCTGTGAGGATAGCCAATCACACTTCCGACCGCTCGGGCTGACCCAAGAAAGTGATATTTTTTAGGACACGCTCACCTCTAGAACCTGTCTCCTTCGTACATAAGATCTGTCAAGATATTGCAGATGGCGCTCAGCCGAAAAACTTACGCTATGTCAAGCGACTAACACCAATTACTGCGACCGACAAAGCCACGCCACAGGGTCTTGAGGCTGTTGCGAAACAAGTCCTTGCGCCTCACTTCCATGGATCAGATCAAGCGGGGAAGAAAGTGAGCATTAGCTTCTTCTATCAGATGATGTAGTGTCGTCGTGCAAAGATCTCCGCTAACGTGTGGTTACCCAAGTTTGCGATACGCCCATCGATCCGCAACAATAAGGAGTTTTTGAGAGATGGCGTCATCAATACAATCGCAGCTGCAGTTGGTCCTGGGCACAAGGTCGACCTGAAAAACTACGATCTTCTCATTCTCGTGGAAATTTACAAGGTATAGTCATACCCCACGTGGTGATCACACGTCTCACATGCACCGCATGATGAGATCTTGACAGCTGCTTACATCCGACAGAATGTCTTAGGTATGAGTGTGGTCGGTCCTGACTTCGAGCAGCTCAAACGTTTCAACATCGAGGAGCTTCGTCAGCCGTTGCCCTCCGTCAAACCTCAGGTCGATGATCAGTCAGGGAACATCGAGAATGGACGTGTCTGAGAAGGAGACGAGTGGAATCGGTGCGTGGGGCAGCCGTCGTGGTGCTAGAACGCCTCGCGCAGCAATTTCCACAAACTGAAAAAATCTCCGATCGGGACCACCGTGGCTTGCATACGTTTGCTCTTGGGATGAGGCAAACGTCTAGCGGATCATCAGAGTGAGCACAGTAGCCACCTACTCATCGACCTGACATCCGGCGTGTTGCTACTACTCGTCTCCGAACTGCCGGGTGCATACTGCGTGCGGGCTTACATAGCCGCCACAGCAATAGCCCACAGGCGTGGGATGTGTGGAGGTAGTTGACTAGCTACGTAAAACAATGGGCCGGGCGAGTTGAGGGCCCGTACAGACATAACACTGCGTTAATCACAGCGTTATTTTTTGCACTGTCAAACCTACATCCAATCGTCTCTCAGATTCCTAAGGATATGCTATCGAAACATGTCGGTCAATGGTATCCTTCAGCCGTCTGTCGGCAGAACCAATCATAATTCGCGATACGCGATATCCTCATCGGGTGCCTAGCCACTTGTGGGTATCCTTGACGAACGCTGAGAGCGCCAATCTGAACGCCTCACGCGTCCTTCTCCGCCTCTACATCCGCCTTCGCTAAACAATTCGCTTAGAATACGCCGCTTACTTACCAGTTCCGTACGCGCATGATAGACTTTTGCTTTTCGGCTGAGCAGTGCATCGGCGAGAGGATAGTCGATATGGCTCGGGGACTGGTTGGGACTTTCAGATGTGCTACTAAGTGTCGACTGTCATGCGATTCGGTATGGCCGAACCAAGGAGATGGCTTCATCAATTGAGATCTATCAAAGTCGGTCTTGCTCGGGCTGGCGTTACTATGCTTTTGTTTCCGACATTCGTCGGGACATTTTTGCGTTCAGATCGAGCATCCATGATTCTATGAGAAAAGAGCTGGCATTGACTTTGTTTGCGCAATCGTCAAAACATTCTTAATGCATAGCGATGTCCTCGACATGCAGCATTCAGTCAGCTCCAGGCCTCCACTATCGAATCACGCTAAGCTCCCCGCCGGAATCTAGGACGTCGCTGCTCGGCCCTTCATAATGCATCTTCCCCCACTGGATGTTGCAATCTTTCCCCTCACCAGTATGAGCCGTGGAACGTACGCTCTAAAGCCCGTTCGGCCCTCTTCGACCACTTCGTCTTCATCTTCGTCTTCATCAGCATCTTCGCGGACTGCTATCACAACAGTCGACTTTCCCAGCATACAAAGAGTCATCAGAGCAGTCTTTCGGTCCTCAAGAATCAATGTTCAGCAAATTGAAGTCCAGCAAGGGTGCATACACCAGGTTTATCTCGCAAGACTTCAAGATGGCAGTTGTTTGATACTCAAATGCCCACCAGCTTATAACATCCGACTCCTCCGGCATGAGAAGCACTTCCTGGAGACAGAACGCAAAGCACTCGAGACACTGCACGAGTATACACAAGTACCTGTGCCTCAAATCATCAAGTATGATAGCCATGGTGGACCGCTTGGTGCACCATTTCTTATGATGAGCCACATGCCTGGTCGCAAGCTCTCGGAAATCGCGCCATACATCTCGACCAGCGAGAGAAACTCCATCGATCACACACTAGGCACACATGTCCGCGCTCTGACTGCACTATCTGCCACCCAATTTGGTATGACACACCGTGTCTTCGTCAAAAAGGGCAGCAACTCCTGGCGCGAGGCTTTCTTTGCTCTCCTCGAAGCCGCACTACGCGATGCTGAGGATATGCTTGTTAACGCACACTCCGAAAGTATACGTTTCTGGGTTGGCAAACACGCGCACTGCCTGGAAGAAGTTACCGAACCGCGCCTTGTAGCGCTCAATCTCTGCGACCCGGAGAACGTGCTCATCGACGAACGTACCAAGCAGGTCATAGGTCTTGTCGGATTTTCGAACGTCATCTGGGGCGACCCTCTCATGAGCGGCGGTATCGCGGATGGCAATGAAGCGTTCTTCGCCGGCTTGGGAGATTACCCTGTGAAGACTGGGGGCGCGAGGGTCAGGATGCTGATGTAAGTACCAAGTGCGGGTAATTAGAAGGCCGCAATGCTGACCGTAATAGGTACAAGACTTACCGGGCCACGGTGCGGATCGTCGCACACCATTACCGGCCGCATGACGGCATTGATGAGCTCGGTGCGAGACGAGAGCTGAGCTGTGCACTCAACGACCTCGCAGCTATCTGAATCGTACTAGCGAGGCAGCTAGATTCTACGAGCGAGCTCTCGTAGCGCCTTGCTACAAGCGAATCGAGTGCCGAGCAACACATTGTGCTATAAGAATGGAGTTCCGAGCGGAAGGGTATCGTGTTTTTGGGTCTCAAGTATTGGAATTCAAGGCGTAAGGCGTTCGGGTTCTGTACTATGAAACATTGAGTATAGTGAGAAAAACGCTCGCTGTTCACGCATGACCATCGGTTAATTGCGTGCGGCTAAGTGTAGCGGGCGGTGTAACGATGTTGCTGTACCGCTTAGATCGGATGCGAAAGGGCGCGCAAAACTGAGTTCCACGGCATAGAGTCGAGCATGGCGTAAGCTTACATTATCTGATATTCCCCTCTCCCGTTTGCAATCTTCAGGACACTGTCGTCCAAGTAGTTGAGTACATGTATTTTCAGTCGTCAAAGAAGCTAGTGGCCAAAACGAGTGATAGAAATTTGAAAGAAAGCGGATGCAAATACCGTCTTGACTTCATCGTACACTTTGGCAAATGATGCGAATGTGCAGCAACCAGGGTAAGCGAACGTTGCGATCCGAAGCAACATCCTGGCGCTGTAAGTCGCCCAATCTTGAAGACACATGGATACACGAGGAATATACCATTCGCACATCAAACCCACAAATTTCGACGCGGACGTGGCTGATGTTCCGCCCTCTACGTTGATTTGTCTTTGTCGACACGTTAGCCACGTATCCAAGTACCTACGTACCTAAGGTTCTGCACATGCTATGAATCGGCTACCCTTGCGAGGGCGCCTGAGCCCACCACATGCCCGAATGCTCCTTCTCGCTCACCCCTGTTTCTGATAACGTACCTAGGTATAATGGGTAGACTGTAGAAAGGCACCCACCAATCATTCGCGTGCAGACTCGCTTGATGGCGCTGCATTGGGAGTAGCGTTCGAGAGGGGTAGGCGAAGATAGACGACGCGTTGCGGACCGATGTTCTTCGGAGTCGTAAGTTGCTGGAATCTCGCTACGCATGTAAGTGACGGGCGGCAGCGGCCTGGCGTAGACAACGGGGTAGGGGAAAGGCTGTAGGCAAGGCAGGGGTACCGAGGTATTTGTGTCGACAGGTAGTCGCACGCGGTGCACCTTGAACAGTGACTCTTGAGATATAAAAACACCTTCGACAGCCGGCTAGAAATTGGACTGAATGAAACGACATCGGTCTTTTCCATCTTGAAGATGCGCCTCTACGAATGTTCTTGGACTATAACTCTTGCTCACATCCCTGGAAGAGAGAACTTTGGAAGGTACTTAGGCATGCCTGCCTAAGCAGACACTGCTCAACCCATCTATTGAGACTTCATTATATCAGATATACAACATGCTTGTCTACACCGCGTCCTTCTCCCTCTCGGCTTTAGCGAGAGTCTAGCTTACCTAGGTAGTAGGCATTGGATCTTGTCCAGGTGGCCAAACCTCAAGCTACAATGTGTCTGGCTTCAACACCAGAACTTAATTTTTTTTCCGCATATGTAGACAAGATAAACGGGGTAATTGTTTCATGTTACAGCGCCTTCAGATTGATCACGTATGATTGGATCGATTTTGTCCCTATCACAATCGCGACGCTACGCCCGATACAGTTAGTTAGCCCCCACGTGAAGAACGGGAGCTCCCACCCGTGAGGGGAACGGAAGACGCGACGGAAGGTTCGGGGCAGGCTTTCACTTCATATGACAATCGCGCGTCTACCTGCATTCTTTTACCTGGCGTTTCGACCGGTTCTCTGTCATGCGCAACGGGGATCCCAGATCCTGCCGCCCATTCGAAGGTTTTACGGAAGATCCCTCCACCGCGGCGCGTGCTTAACGCTGAAGTATTGGCGCGAACCGCTGCAACAATCCCAATGTCCACCCGGGCGCTTAGCCAACTATGTTATTGCACGATAGCCTCAAGAACTCTGCGCATCCGCTATGTCGGTACCGGATTAAGTATGAAAGTGGAATCAGCGGTGCTGTGCCGCAATCTATCTGCGCGGACGATCGATGCAGGTACAGCTTGAACAGCAGACGAAGATGGCTTAAGTAGCCTCTATGTATGCGCTTCTCTGTGCGATAACCTTGGATACAGCCACCGAGTCGCTGTAAGTTTCCTTTCAGGCCAATCCCGTTTGAGCGCACTTGGAGCATCTGTCGTTATGGATCGAACATTAGGAGGTCATGCGCCTTCAGTCCCAGCGGACTCGTCTGCTCAGTCTACAACAGATACCATGCCTTTGGGCACAGGTTAGTAATCAATTACCTCTGAAGATCTAGGCGGCTAACAAACTTGCCAACACAAGCTCCAACGGATCGGAAAGGGAGCTGGCTGCCATTTACCTTTAGATGGTATTCTCTATTGATCCCGATAAGTGCCACCGCCATCCTGGGCATAACAATATCGCTACTTATTTGGTACTCGCAACACCACTACGGACTCGGTGCCGATGACGGATCTTCTGCAGTACTGTTTGGATGGCGCTTCACACCAACTCTGCTAGCAGTGCTGTACACACAATCCACGGTTATCCTATTTGAAGATGCCAAGAGAACGGAGCCGTTCGCTCGATTAGCTCGAGCACCTTCAGAAGGCGCCAGTGCCTACGGTACATTACTCCAAACGCCCAGGGCCTGGTGGGCTATCTTACTGGATATCGTCCTCAAGCGCAAGTCGGTCGGTAAAACCAGTTGGTGTCTCATCTGCACGGCTGTAATCAATGTGGTGGCCCTTCTCGCTATATCTCCTTTGTCATCCGCCCTTCTTACATCCGAAGAGATTGTAATCACCAAAGCGCTTGACATCAGCAGAAGCGTTCCTAGGATTGGTCTCCAACTGCCCATTGTCGCCAGTAGAGAAACCTATTTCAGAACTACGTCTGCGCTGATGAGGAATCTCTCTACTTCAGCATGGATAAAAGATACTTCTATCACCTTTCCGAATTGGCCGTCTACAGATACAGCACAACTCGGCCCCGATCTGATATCAAGCTTCAACTCCTGGACGGCAGAGACAACGACAATACATGCGAACCTAGGTTGTCGGGACATGACGCTAGAAAGCGCTGATCTTGTGCCGATGGAATACAAAGAGTACGATATCATGGGCCACGGGCCATACAAGGGCGTAGAACCCATGGTAGTCTTTGCTTTAGCATCGGACGACGGTTGCAGACACGAAATAACCGTCCACCCTGCGGTTAATCTGGCAATGCGTGGAGGCCTGACATGGTCAAACACTTCTACTTTCTACATTGAGGATGAGCTGCTGCCCCTCGGTAGAATGCCGTTTCCCAGTAACGTCTCCTCGACCAGTCCGTATGCGCGCCACTATGCCTCTCCAGAATGTGCAGACCGGGATATCATCATTCTCAACACCCCGTGGACCAAGCCCGTCAGGTTGGAGCTGAGTGAAGCGGCAGGGACAGGACTTGAGCTCAACAGGACCTATGAACGCTCGCCTGACTTTCGCATGAAGGCATTGCTTTGCAAATCTCAGTATTCTATGGAAACACACAACACTTCTACTTCAATAGGCCAAGGCAAAGAGCCGAACATTACGTCCATGGAGTCGGACCATATTCAGCCCGTGTCAATCACGAAAGATATGATAGACATCCCTAAGTTTGAAGAGATGGCACTACAAGACACTTGGAAATACTATTTTAACGCCGAAAGCATAGCGACTGATGCGGACCGTGCTCTGGGCGGCCAGCTTGGCCCTTACTCCGATCCGAACATGACGACCAACGCTCCAGAGTTCTTTGGGCTTGGTCCGCTGCTTGGCGCTCTCTATGCATTCAACGTTACCGAAATGTTGAACGACAGGGAGTTTATTTCCCGCGCAGAAAGAGTCAAAGGAAGATTCTTCACGGAGTGTCTTCGCGAGGCCTTGAACGACCCCGACGTAACACGCGTCGAAGTTACAAAAGGGAAGGCAACAGTGGTCGAAAATAGAATCATGGTACTCCAAGAGATCGGAATCGCTTTGGCTACCCTCTTCTTGGTCTCCTTCTTGCTACTCATCATGGTATTTTGGGTCTCACGACTATCATTTCGGCCGCTCGACCTCAGCATGGACCCCGGCAGTACCCTTGGACATGCTATGTTAGTTCAATCGCATCCGACACAATCATCAACATTTCGAGAAGGTCATCGTATAGCGCATCACGATTTCCGCCAAAGAATAAGGAATGACACATTTTACATGCGGGATGGTGCTATACATACTGCAAGCAGTGATTGCCTCGCAAGCACATGTAAGTCAGCAATGCCATGTAATCGAAGCTGTGAGCTGATAAATGCCTTCAATAGCTCCCACAACCACTAAATCTTCAAGCTTTTGGCAGCCGTTGGTCATCCGACTTCGTATGCTGTTTGCTCTTTCAAGCTTCCTTATCCTGATCCTGGTTGCGGTGTTAGTACTGAACGCTTTCTCTGCGAGATCTCGACTTTCTCAGCTTGCATTCGTTTACGAAGCCGATGTTTCTAAGTTGGGCTTGAGCTTCTCCACCTTTGCTCCTATCTCTATCGGACCCACAGTTGTCAGTATTGTGATCGGCTTGTGGTGGGATCAATTGGATTCAACATTCAGAATCCTCCAACCCTATTTTGCGATGTCGCAACGGCCAACACCCATCACCAATGGAGCGGGTCTTACGTACCGTTCCAAAACCTGGGCTGGTGCGGCTATCAAGGCCGCCCGCAACAAGCATTGGATGCTGTTCCTGGTCGCTACTGGAAGCGTTCTCTGCCAAATTCGTAAGATTATCATGATCGATGGTCTTCTAGCTTGCTGACTTCAATTTGCCAG